AACCCATCTCAAACTCCATTTAAATAAATTATTTAATGTTTATTTATTTTTGAAGAGATGGGGATGGGGATGGGGGGAGGGGAGGGCAGAGAGAGACAAAGAATCCAAAGCAGGGCTCCAGGCTCTGAGCTGTCAGCACAGAGCCGGATACAGAGCTCAAACCTATGAGCTGTATGAGCCAAAAACCTGAGCCAAAGTCAGATGCTTAACCTACTGAGCCACCCAGGCGCCCCACAAATGCCGGTTTAAATGCTTAAGTTCCTTTAGCATCAGGACCTGGTTAGTCAGTCCTATTCACCAAATATAGCTCTAACAACTAGAGCACTACTGGCATTGTAAGCAATCAATAAATAAGTGTCCTGAGAATAAAGAGGTTCTACCTGAACGGTTTGCCGTGCTTTCTCAATAGCTTTTCCCCTTTCTACAGTCAGCTTTTTACTCATTTATTACTGTGTCTATTTCATTTTTACAACAGCTATCCAAGAAAATTCATTTGACCCCAGTTTCTTTCTTAAAATAATATAGAATACCAAAAAGTCAGTATAGTTCAAAAGAAAACACATTAATAGCATATTTTTAGGAATGCCTGGCTGGCTCAATCAGTACAGCATATGACTTCTGTTCTCGGGGCAACGAGTTCAAGCCCCACATTTGGTGTAGTATTTACTTAAAAAAAATTTTTTAAGTAACATTTTTTAAATGTTTACTTATTTATTTTTGAGAGAGAAAGAGTGCACAAGCAGGGGAAGGGCAGAAAGAGAGAGCAAGACAAAGATTCTAAAGCAGGCTCCAGGCTCCAAGCTGTCAGCAAAGATTGACGCAAAGATGAGCCCACGAACCATGACATCATAATCTTACCCAAAGTCGGATGCTCAACCGACTGAGCCACCCAGGCACCCCAAAAGTAGCATATTTATTTTAACAGGTCTTCTTGGGGCACCTGGGCGGCTTAGTCAGTTAAGCGTCCGACTTTCGCTTAGGTCATGATCTCGCAGTTCGTGGGTTCGAGCCCCGCGTCGGGCTCTGTGCTGACTGCCAGCTCAGAGCCTGGAGCCTGTTTCAGATTCTGTGTCTCCCTCTCTCTCTGACCCTCCCCTGCTCACGCTGTCTCTCTCTCTCTCTCTCTCTCTCTCCTAGAAATAAATAAAACACAAAAAAAAAATTAAAAATAAATAAATAAAAATAAATATTTTAACAGGTCTTCTCAAGTACTGTCAATTGTAAGCATGAATATACATGTGTTTTCATATCCCTAGTTACATACAGGAAAATTAGAAAGGTCTAAGACAGTTTGTCAAAATTACGAATGTAGGGTTTGGGTCTCTAGTACATACCAGTCCAAACTTTAAAAAGAAAACAAAACAAAACAAAAAACATTCTAACTGCCCAAACACCAAACTTTCCATGCACATAGCAGAACAAAACTGTAAAATTGAAGATCCCAGCAAAACAATTCTTTGATTAATGAGTTTACAAGTTACATAAAAGTTAATGGTCATGTGTAGTAACTGGAGCTTTAAAGTACCAATGTCACTTATAAAATAAAATCTTTGAAGGACATACATTTGGAATACATTGGAAGGACATACACTGGAATAATACAGTTCCAACAGAACTGTATTAAATTAGAATCTAAAGCTGATTTTACCCTTGATATACAGATCTTGCATTAATCATGAAGAGTATAAAACAAAGAGCATTATAGCACTCGTTTGTTCATAAATGCATTTAAGAGTAATATAAACTAATTAGTGAGTAATGTAACAACTACACTGTGAATGTAATACGAAATTAGCAATGGGAAAAGTTTCTAGCTCCAAAATCCAGGCCAATCATTTTTCACAAAAAAGTCAGAAAAATTTTTTTTCATTACGAAATCATTCATCTGATGCTTTAGGTATAATTATCTTGCAGTTTCTCTCTGCTTTTCATATCGTATACACCTGTATCGAAGTTTACATCTACATGTTAACATTATGAAAAAATACATGGTTTGAAGTTTTAAGAGTACAGTGATACTAGGGGTGCCTGGGTGGCTCAGTCAGTCGAGCATCCGACTTCACCTCAGGTCATGATCTCACCGCTCATGAGTTCAAGCCCCACGATTGGCTCTGTGCTAAGAACTGAGAGGCTAGAGCCTGCTTCAGATTCTATCTCCCCTTTCTCTTTCCATCCCTTCCCTACTCATACTGCCTCTCTCTCTCTCAAAAATAAATAAACATTAAAAAAAAGTACAGTGACACTGAAAAGCATTCGGATTTAAAAATGGCTAAAGGGGCGCCTGGGTGGCTCAGTCCTTTAAGCATCAGACTTCAGCTCAGGTCATGATCTCATGGTTCAAGAGTTCAAGCCCAGCATCAGGCTCTATGCTGACAGCTCAGAGCCTGAGGCGTGCTTCAGATTGTGTTTCCCTCTCCCTGCCTCCCCACCCACAACCCCCCAACTTGTGCTCTCGCATGCACACACTCTCACCCTCTCTCAAAAATAAATAAAAACACTTTAAAAATTTTTTTAACATTTATTTATTTTTGAGAGACAGAGAGAGACTGAGCATGAGTAGGGGAGGCACAGAGAGAGAAGGAGACACAAAATCCGAAGCAGGCTCCAGGCTCTGAGCTGTCAGCATAGAGCCCGATGTGGGGCTCAAACTCACTGACTGCAAGATCATGCATGAGCTGAAGACAGGCGCTTAACCGACTGAACCACCCAGGTGCCCCAATAAAAATATTTTTTTAATTACCCAAAAAATGGCTAAAAATATTATTTCTCAATGGAACTACATGAAATTTCACTGAGATCCTTTTTAAAGTAGCATAGGTGAGGGGTGCCTGGGTGGCTCAGTCGGTTAAGCATCTGACTCCAGCTCAGGTCGTGATCTCACGGTTTGTGGGTTTGAGCCCCGCATCAGGCTCTGTGCTGACAGCTGGCTCAGAGCCTGGAGGCTGCTTCACATTCTGTGTCTCCCTCTCTCTCTGACCCTCCCCTGCTGACGCTGTCTCTCTCTCTCTCTCTCATAAATAAATAAAACATTAAAAAAAAATTTTTTTTAAAGTAGCATAGGTGACTGCAGTAAATTTCATTTTAGTTTCCCAAACTAATTCTGATTAAAAATTTAACTCAGTTTTATACTTACTGACCACCTACTGTGCATAAAGCACTAAATTAGGCATCATACTGGCCAGATTAGACAACAAAATATTACACTTCCTACTAATTAGACAGCCAAAATATTACACTTCCTACTAACAAACAGTTAGCGTTATGACTCCTCAGGACATCAGGTAATAACTATCAATTGTAGGCCTCTAAAAATGCTTGTTAAACCAAAAGGCAATGCTCTTACTGGAGGAATTCAGATTGCCTAGATCAGCAAAACTACATTAGAAAGTTAATAGCCTCCATCCTTAAAATATCCCAGGAGAAGAAAGGGAGTGATTCAAACTGTTAGCATGTGCCCAACAACACTACACAATAATAGGCTAGGCAAAACTGCCAGATGTATTTGTAATTAAGAGGTCCAACCTTGACAATGTATCACCAGTGGGATTTTCATCCTACCGAGTGGAAGGATTCAGAAAGCAAAAGCTCAGTCAAGAAGTGAAAAGCACATCTAAGCATAAACTGCTCTGGCGGTTCAAGCTGGAAGATCAAGTACAGACAGACGTCCTTCCTTCAACCCGAGAGACTCTATTCTGCAACAGCAGAAAGCAAGATTTAGATGGGAAAATAAGGGGGCGCCTGGGTGGCTCAGTCGGTGGGGCGTCCGACTTCGGCTCAAGTCATGATCTCACAGCTGGTGGGTTCGAGCCCCATGGGGCTCTGTGCTGACAGCCAGCTCAGAGCCTGGAGCCTGCTTCAGATTCTGTGTCCCCCTCTCTCTCTCTCTCTGACGCTCCCCTGTCTGTCTCTCAGAAATAATTAAAACATTAAAAAAAAATTTTTAATGGGAAAATAAGGGGCGCCTGGTTGGCTCATTCCCTTAAGCGTGGACTCTTGATTTAGGCTCAGGTCATGATCTCGAGCCCCCCACCATGGGGCTCTGCAATGACAGCGGGAAGCCTACTTGAGATTCTCTCCCTCAGAATAATAAAATTAAAGTAAATTAATGGGAGAATAAATGACCTGCTATTCTCGAGGGGGCTGCTGCCACAACAATAAACTGAGATCAGGGCTATCAGAAGTAAATTACAAAGTAGGACGCGCTAATGGGGAGAAAGGAAAACTCCCTGGGAAGAGCCAGAGAAGACAATGATCTTTAACTTGGGATCCGTCAGTTTAACATCCGTGATTTCCCAAATAAAGTTGACAAACTCTCCAGAATAGGTCTCTGGAGGCTGACACCTCCTTCCCATCGACCGGAGGCGTCTGCCGACCCAAGGTAGTGGAAGCGCCGGGAGGCAGGCGGCGCCAGCCAAAGGAAGCTTTTTCTCCCTCCTCCTAGGCCGCGGCAGCCGCGGCGCAGGGGCGGATGCCTGGGCTCCCGGGAGCAGGGGCAGGTGTCGGCGCCAGATCCCCGCTCGCGGAGCTGGCAGAGTTGGCAGAGCTGCCGCGGCCGCTTCCCCGGCGGGCCGGCACGCAGGAAAGTTGCGTGAAGACCACTCCAGGCCGAAAAGCCGCTCCCCCGCGCAGCCCGCGGGCTGCGGCATCTCCAGCCTCCTCTCAGCGCCCGGAGAACAGGGACCCGCGGCCCGGGGAACGGGAGAGGGAGCTCCGCCCGCCGGCTCGGAGGAGCCGGGAGAACCCGAGGGTCATTGGCGAGCGGGCGAACGAGGCGCCGGGCGACTCCGCTCCTCTCGGGAGCCCCCCACCCAGGCCGCACCTCCCGCCAAGCCCGGGCGCGAACACTCGGCGCCCGCCGGCGGGGCCCTTCACGACCCCGGCGCCCCGGGGTCGCAGATCGCACGCCAGGGGCCCGAACCCCTCCGACTCAACCCGACCCCTCCCCGGGACGCAGCCCGGTCCCACGGCTCGCCCGGCAGCCGGGCCGCGGGCCTACGCACCTTCCCGCCTCACCTGCGTTCCGCGGCAGCCCTGCACCTCCTCTCCCGCTCCGCGCGCCCCGTCGGGGCACCCACCGACCCCCCGGCCGGGACTCCCCCGCCCGCGGTGACTCGGGGCGCGACGGCCACCGCCGCCTTTCTTCTCTTCAGCACAAGCCCCGGCGGCGAGCAGAGGGTCACAGTCACAGCCCCGCCGGGGCTAAGGCGAATCTCGCCACCTCCACAGCTTCCACACCAAGTCCCTTCACTCGTCCGCGCCGCCCGGAGAAAATGTCACCAGAGGCCGTTCCGCTCGGCGCCTCACTTCCGCCCGGAACCACAGAGGCCGCGCCGGTCGGCTAGAGCGGCCGCTGCGGCGGCGGCCTCCAGGGACAGGCGAGGGAAGCCGAGGGAAAGCCAGATAGCGCCATCTGGCGGACAGCAAAACGCGCTCCTCCCGGGCGGGCACCAGCTTCCCTCGTGTCTTTCCCGCGTTCCATCCATCTGATTAGGCAGCTCCCTTCCAGAAATGTCCTTCCCAGAGGGTCGAAAATCAGCCAATGCAGGCCAAGGATAATGTCCTAACAGAAGGACAGCTCTCCCTTTTCTGTGCTCTTCTCACTACTCACCCCTTCCGAAGCCTTCCCGAAGGAAGCTCCTAGTGAATCCTTGAGTGACTACCCCTCCTCCCCTGGCAGCAAAGTTCCCTGGCCCCCACAAACTGATTTTCTCTAAGTAGGCTAGAGCAGCTTGAGAATCAAGAGGGGGGAATGAGAAGGAAAGCCAGTAGGAGCAAATAAAAAGGCCCAGCCAGATGTCCAAGCCCAGATCCTCCCCTTGCATGCTTTTGGCTTCCGTAATCTTGCCTGCCTCTTACATCAGCTAGCAGCCAGGAACCAGAAGCTTGACCCAACCGGAAAGCACACATGTATAAAGGATCAATAAAATGGAGCTGGGTGCTCAGCCTTTGGAGGTGACTCAGCTGGGCCAGCACCGGTGTGAAAGAGTCTTTTCTGATTTCCCAAGTGCATGTCTTTGTCTCTTTCTGAGCGCCAAGTATTTGCTGTAACATTTTCTCCAGACTTTTTTTGCAGATGGCGACAGCTCCGCTCGGCGACATTCGGCTGTGCTCTTCTCTTGCAGTAGCATCAAAACCCCATTTGAGTTTCTGGTCAGGAACCGTACAGGCCTGGCATATGGACCGCCACCTACTGGTGAAACAGGATCAGCCGGGGGGGAGACCCTGCTCTGCGCCACGCGTTGTAGACGCCCCAAATTCCACCTCTGCAGAGTCCCTGCTCTCATTTGCACTTCAGCGTCGGAAGGGTGACGCACGCGCGCATTCTAGGAGTTTTCAAGGCCTTTTCTTCAGGTCTGTGATAGAAAGAAACGTGCTATATGCGGAACCTGGATAAAAGGTGAAGTGGGCGGTGGCCGGTACAGGCTTAGGAGGGAGAAGAGGTACTGAGAACAGACTTTGTAACTCATGGATCTAGCCAAGGACCGGCACTACCAAAGGCAGGGTTCTGAAAAATAAATGAGTAAATAATAGCTTGGGGAGAAAATATCAAAGGTTTTTACTTTTTCAGGAGCCACGCTGGGACCTAGGGGGACCACTGCCCAAGAGGAGATTATGAAAATCACACCACATTTCCCTTAACATCAGTGTCCCCTTCAGATCAGGCACTTCAGCTGCCCCAGTTTACTCATTTATGCTGACTGCCCCCAGCAAGGGAATTTTCCATCCATGACTAAACGAATAGATTGATAAAAATCATTTTATATTAATAGCTAACTTTTTTTAAATGCCCATTATGTGCCAGGCACTGTGCCATGCAGTGTGTGTGTGTGTGTGTGTGTGTGTGCGCGCGTGTGTATGAGCACGCGCGCCTTGAGTTTAAATGGATTCAGTCATTTAATCCTCACAACAACTCTATGAATTTGATACTATTACCAACCCCAGATGACAAAAAGGCACAGAACAGCAAGGTCACACATCACTACTGGACTCCAATATAAAACAATCCAACTCCAGAGCTTGCCTTCTCAACCACTACCACCAGCTGGCTCTTTGAGCCTCACTGAGAACATACTGTGTGCCAGATAAATATCTCGTCCATGTAGGATATTTCACTTAACTCATTCATTCATTTATCCATTGATTTCCCTGCTACCTTAGTCCCCAAAGAACTTGAAAGGTTGTAGCGTAGTGATAAGAGACCAAGCTCTTTCAGAAGAAAAAGAGAAAATTTAACTACTAAGATCACAGCTGTCAGTCTTGAAGTGAAAGCTTAAATGTGGACTAATACATTCTAGTTTTTCCTTGACTATCTTTTTTTAAATGTTTATTTATTTTGAGAGGTGGGAAGGGGCAGAGAGGAAGAGAGAAAGAATCCCAAGAGGCTCCACATTGTCAGCACAAAGCCCTATTCAGGGCTCCATCTCATAAACCGTGAGATCATGACCTGAGCTGAAATCAAGAATAGGAGGCTTAACTGACTGAGCCACCCGGGCACCCCCACAGTTTTTCCTTGACAGTGTTATCTCATCAGTGCTGTAGAGATACTGAATTGTCCCCAGAATCTCATGTGCATGACATGGTCAACTCTGCAGGCTCCTGAAATCTCATCTCCATGAAACCAGCCCAGCCCAGCTACCATCCACATCACTAGCAACCCTCTCCATCCCATTGTCTCTACAGAAATTTATCAAGACCTCCCTGTTCACAGACACTGTCCTACAAACACGTCCATCCCTTAGCCTACCTGCAATGTTATTACTGGATCATAGCAATGGTTCTCTCAACTTCTGCCATAAGCCTTAGAGGCCAAGGCCAGGCTTGTCTGAATCACTCTTCAGCATCATTGTTGCCCCTGCACCGGGGCTGGGCCTGCAGCAGGGTCCTGTTAGAAGCGGTGGCCTCGAGAGGCGCCTGGGTGGCTTAGTCGGTTAAGCGTCCGACTTTCGCTTAGGTCATGATCTCGCGGATCGTCGGTTCGAGCCCCGTGTCGGGCTCTGTGCTGACTGCCAGCTCAGAGCCTGGAGCCTGTTTCAGTCTGTGACTCCCTCTCTCTCTGACCCTCCCCTGCTCACGCTGTCTCTCTCTCTCTCTCTCTCTCCTAGAAATAAATAAAAAAAAAAAGTTAAAAAAAAAAAAGAAGCGGTGGCCTCGGGACACTTGGATGGCTCACTTGGTTGAGTGTCTGACTTCAACTCAGATCTTGATCTCATGGTTCATGGGTTCGAGCCTGGCATTTGGCTCTGTGCTGACAGCTTGGAGCCTACTTCAGATTCCGTGTCTCCCTCTCTCTCTCTGCCTCTCCAGCACGCGCTCTATCTCTCAAAAATGAATAAACGTTAAAAAAAAATTTTTTTTTTTAAGAAATGGTGCCCTGAACAGTAGCATCAAAGTGTGGCTGGCTTTGCTTTGACTGTAGTCTGTTCCCTCCCGACAAAGCAGGTTACTTCTGCCGTTTCGCCCTGCGAGGTGCATGTTATTATTAGAACCACTCTCTAGTTGAGGAAAATGGGAGATCTGAGAGACAGACTCTCATCTCTGGGCTCTGGGCTGCTCCCACTCTTCTCAGATTGCTAAGAACTGGGCTACCCCTCCCTCAATGTAACCACCCACCCTACTACCCTCCACCCCCAGCATAACCAGCCTTCACTACAATCTCCCAGTGCCTGCTGTATGGGGAAGTATTAAACCTCTCTCTGCACTCGGTGGCCACATAAGCTCTAATAAGTCACCACTTCCAGAGTTAACCCTACCTGCTTTGCCTTGGAGCATTATTTCACAGAATTATGTCCTCCATTTGGAAGGCCATCTAGAACATTCTAAGGATTCCAAGTAGCGGAAGGTCACATGGTCATCAGCACCAGGGGCTCTGGAGTCTGGCAGATCTGAGTTTGGATACAGTTCTGCCTCCCTCTAGCTGTGATCTCCTGCCAAGCATAAACATCCTCACCTGTTCAACACAGATGACTCCCGATACTACCTTGTAGGCCATCCTGAGGGTTAAGTGAGTTGTGTGTGTAAAGCTATAAGCTTAATTCATGGCTCAGAGAGAACACTCCATAAACAGGGTCCTTGTTCTGATGGCAACAGTCCAGGCCAGCACCTCCCTGGTTAGTACAGGCACAGACTCACACTTGTTAGGTACAATGATGCCATCTCAACTTCCAAGTTCACATGGAGCCAGAATGGAACAGAGCAGAGGATATCATGAAAGTGCAGCCATTTGTGGCTAAGGGTGGTTGGGAAGGGACACCCCCCTCAGCTCCCCTGTCCACTGGGATGACTAAGTGAGGCTCCTCTGTCTTGGGCTCCCTGTCCTTCTTTCCAATCAGGTGACCCCCTTGCTACCTCTTCTATACAGAAAAATCTGTAACCTAAAAGAAATTGTTTTAAATGTTTATTCATTTTTTGAGAGAGACAGAAAGAGTGAGAAACAGAGCACAAGCGGGGGAGGGTCAGAGAGAGAGGGAGACACAGACTCCGAAGCAGGCTCCAGGCTCTGAGCTATCAGCACAGAGCCTTAACGCGGGGCCGAACCCACGAACGGTGAGATCATGATCCGAGCCGAAGTCGGACGCCTTAACCTACTGAGCCACCCACGCGCCCCAGGAAAATCTATAACTTGTATTAAATGTGAAAATAAATGCAAAGGACAGTTTAAAATTTTTTTAACAAGCGTGTGTTGCTCTCTCATCTTTTTCACACAAGGACTAGCTCTAACACAGTACCCGACCTTGCGGGGGGCCTCCGGGACGGAAGGTGCAATCAGGCTAGCATCACAGGAACCGCTTGTTCCCTTAGTCACGTCTGCCCCGCCGTGTAACTGTCGTGCATACCCTTCTTTCTCGCCCCTCTGACCCCCCCCCCCCCGGAGAGCACGGGGCCCTGCTCTGGGAGACGTTCGGACGCGGATGTGAACGGAGGAAGTCTGTCTGAGCATCTAGCTGGGGAGACCCAGAAACCTGAAAGGACCTCAAAACAAGGAAGTGGCGCCAGGTGCCAGGTGGGCGAGAGGCTGGGAGGCGGCAGGCCCGCGGTGGAGGGCAGGAGCGGTGCCTGCGGGAACCTGCAGCCTGCCCCACCTCCGTCACAAAGGGGGAAGAGTGCGCACGCAGGGCAACGCTCGCGCCTCCTTTCTCCAAGCCCCCTTGGGCGTCCTGCACAGGGCCTGGCAGACAGGACAATGCAATAGATGTTTGTGACTGAGGACAAAGGTATGCACAGAAGCTGACCTCGGAAAGGGGCAAGAGTTGGAAGAGCCCCTGGGATGTTTGGAGGACGACAACCCCGGGCCTGACTGCCTGTGGCTGCACAGCGGAGGGGCGGGGGGATGAGAGCGAAGGCCGGAAGGGGGGTGGGGGCTGAAGGCGAGGAGAGGCGAGGAGGGGGAAGACAGGAAGGGAGGTGGGGGTGGCTGAATGGGAGCGTAGGGAGTCGGGGCTGCTGGGCTGCGTCCTTAAGCGCCGGCAGGAAAGCTGCATGTGACGCGTCTGCCTCTCCCGAGTGTTATGATCAAGACCACAGACAGCAGATCCTCTCTGCCCACAAACAACCTGGCGAGGCATTGACTCCACGCTGATCACACTAGGGGGCAGGTGGAGTTCAGGGAGGGGAA